AGCTCATTTTTGCCATTTTCATGCGCGGAAAAGAACAGATATGGGTTGCTCATGGCGAGAAGGTCCCCAGAAAGTGAAAGACTGGAAAACGAAATTTTGCCGAGCCTCTGCCTTTATATTGAGAAACATGCGAAAGTTGTTATATAGCCCATAGCTGAAGATGAGCTAACAAGGCAATCATTTGCCTATTTCGGACTTTGTTGGACGACTTGATGTCAAAAGCTCAAGACCCCTAATTTAGGGTGGACGGTGTTTTTGGTGTGCTGCTAAAATCGTTCGGACCTGCCTTTCATATGTTCAAAAGAACAGAGGCGCTTATTGTACATCATCCATTTGGTCCACTTCATTTACCTTGGTGTCGAATTCACTGCTCTATCTACCAGCGATATGGACCTTTGGTGTGTAACGGTGCGCGGAACTTCACTTACTTCGCTTTAATTCCTCTACTTCGCTTGTACGCTGTAAAGAATGCATCATAATTTCTTATATGTATGTATGCATGCATATCCGCCTGAAAAAAAAATCCTAGGAAGTCGTTCCTCAGAAACAAAAGGCCAATTTGTAGTCGGCAGGCACACGACACGCTGATTGCTTCGAGAGCCATTTTCTGGGCTCCATTGCATAATAAATTTGATGGAGACGTGTAAGTAGTTACATGGCTTTGTTATATTTTTGGGATTGCGTGTCCAGCACGCTTGATATATAGGCGGGTTGAGATAAAAAATCTATGGATAAGAAGATATAGGGAGCAAATAAAGAGATCTTCGTAGTGAAATCCTTCCTTTTCCAAGTGATGTATGAAGTATATGATTTTTTTGCTGATTTTTATCATCATAGAACTGTTAAGATGGGCGGAAAGCGTGGACGTGCGCCTAATGCAAACGGGCAACAAGAGCGAGTTCGGACACATCTGCTGTTCTCAAAGCAGACAGAAAGACAGCACCAGAAACGGAAGAAACGAGCACAAAGTATGTACAGCAGTCGAGTTTGTACAATGCAAGTTCTTATTCAAATTTCAGATAAATTGCATCAAGTTACTCATAAAAAAGACGAGATTATACAAACTGGTGCCGGCGAGCTAGATCCATCGCAATGGACTGGTCAGTTGAGTAGTACGCGTGTCAAGAGCTTTGAATAACTATTACAGGCAATCAAAGGGTTCTTCATTTTGGTCCCATGGCACAGAGGGATCCCTACTTTTACTACTATCCGAAGGGATGGGATGTGCTTTACCCTGCTCGTTTTGGATTCTTTCCTTACCGTACTACGTGAGTTCTCTTTTT